GTACAACCGAACTATAGAAAGTACACCTGGACTATAGAAAGTACACCTGGACTATAGAAAGTACACCTGGACTATAGAAAGTACAACCGAACTATAGAAAGTTCACCTGGACTATAGAAAGTACACCTGGACATAGAAAGTACACCTGGACTATAGAAAGTACAACCGAACTATAGAAAGTACACCTGGACTATAGAAAGTTCACCTGGACTATAGAAAGTTCACCTGGACTATAGAAACCGCACCTGGACCTGTCATTCTGTGTCTGTTTCTACTTCCTGTCCTCTCAAACCAGCTGGATGAAGCAGATGTTCGCTTGTCCAGAGTCTGGTTCTTCTGGAGGTTTCTTCCTGTTAAAGGGAGTTTTTTCTTTCCACTGTCTCCTTTGTTCTTGCTCAGGATGAGAGACTGTGATGAAGTGGAGTCAACACAATCTGCTGCTTCATTAGATACAGAACTTTTACTGATTGTTTTTTATAATGTGTGTGAATGTTTCTGTTCAGTCCCTGAGACGACGTCTGTTGGGACTTGGAGCTGCAGAAATAAACTGGATTGAAATAAATTGGTACAGAATTCATTCATCTTCTGAAGGTTTACTTTCTTCAGTTCTTGAATAAAACTGATTTTTGTCACCTCACTATGGGGAGCTCAAAGAAAGCAAATAATGACCCTTTAATTTGAAACAGTCAATACTTTATATATATATATATATATATATATATATATATATATATATATATATGTTATACAAGTAACAGTTTTATTTCAGTATTTAACTTTCATTAAGTATGAAGCGTGGACGTGTTTGAGTCCTTGATGTTCTGAAACTTCACCTGTGTTGACCTCCAGTGTTCATGTTTTGCTCATTACTGCTGTGGCAAACAACACTGTCACACCAACATGGAATATTTGAAATAATAAAATTATACTAAATATTTTATGTGTCGGGCAGCACGGTGGTGCAACTGGTAGAGCTGCTGCCTCTCAGCGAGCAGGTCCCTGGTTCAAACCCCGGTCCAGGAGCCTTTCTGGGTGGAGTTTGCATGTTCTCTTCGTGCTGCGTGGGTTTTCTCCGGGTACTCCGGTTTCCTCCCACAGTCCAAAAACATGCATGTTAGGCTGATTGGTAACTCTAAATTGTCCCTAGGTGTGAGTGAGAGAGTGAATGGTTGTTTGTCTCGTTTGTCTCTATGTGTCCCTGTGATGGACTTGCGACCCGTCCAGAGTGTCCCCCGCCCCTCGCACAGTGATTGCTGGACATGGGCACCAGCGACTCCCGTGACCCAAAATGGAATAAACGGGTAAAGATAATGGATGGATGGATAGTTTATCCACTGGCGTGGTGCCAAAGACCTTTAAACATGCTGCTGTCCAGCCTCTCCTGAAAAAACCAAACCTTGACCCCTCAGTCGTGTCCAACTACCGGCCTGTCTCCAAACTCCCATTTGTTTCTAAAGTACTGGAGAAAATAGTGAGTCCCAGTTGAAGTGCTTCCTGGAGGATCACGCCATCTTAGAGCTTTTCCAATCTGGCTTTAAACCTCTCCACAGCACTGAAACTGCCCTGCTGAAGGTCTTTAACGACATCTTCAGATCCACAGATACCGGTGATTCTCTGCTGCTTGTCCTGTTGGACCTCACAGCCGCCTTTGACACCATCGACCATGAGATCCTCATTGCTAGGTTGGAGCAGTGGGTGGGCATCACAGGGTCAGCCCTCAATTGGTTCAGATCTTACCTCACTGACAGATCCTTTTGTGTCTCCATCAATGATTTTAGTTCTGCAGAGGCAGAGCTTAAATGGGGGGTTCCGCAGGGGTCCATCCTGGGTCCCCTCCTATTCTCTTTATACCTGCTGCCGCTTGGTGCTATTTTCCAGAAACACAACATGCCCTTCCACTTCTATGCCGATGACTGTCAAATTTACTTCCCCCTAAGACACAATGGTACATGCTCTATTCAACCTCTGCTCAACTGCCTGGCTGACATCAGGGACTGGATGGCTTTAAACTTCTTAAGTTTCAATGAAAAGAAGTCTGAAGTCATGTTGTTCCCTCCCAATGACACGATCACAAACCACTGCATCGACCTCTCCACTCTAACCCTGTCAGAAAAACAAAGAGTCACTAATCTGGGCGTGATAATGGACCCTTCCCTGAAACTTAACAATCATGTAAACATGATTGTTAAATCATGTTTCTTCCAACTGAGGCGGCTGTCTAAACTGAAGCCCATATTGTCCAAAAAGAACCTGGAGACAGTAATACATGCATTCATTACATCTAGGCTTGATTACTGCAATTCACTCCTGTTTGGTATCAGTCAGACCTCCATTGCACGACTACAACTGGTCCAGAATGCAGCAGCCCCATTTTTAACCAGTACAGGCTAAAGAGAGCACATTACACCAGTTTTGGCCTCACTGCACTGGTTACCAGTTCACCTTCGAATCCAGATCAAAATACTCATGTATGTCTACAAATCACTGAAC